AAACAGCACCATTCGATGCAGAATTAAATTCTAAGTGGAATTGTATAATTTTCATGGGCGGAACTTATTTAGTAAAAAAATGTTTTAGCTGACGCAACGTTTTCTCGTGCTAGCTTCACATCGAGAAATGATGCTCATTTTGGTTCAGAAGAAAATGAAATTCTTTTTCTATGCATACAATATTTCGTATCGGAAAAATTCGAGATCGACTTTGACATGTTAAACTTAAATTAGCTATGCAGTGATCATGATCAAGAACTATTATGTCTTGCTAAACGAATACGTAAAGAAATTCGTAGAAATTCATCACAATACCAATTAAGAGACAGTCTACGGCTCAATCAAGCATTGCCGTCACACAAAATTTGTTTCAGCTTTTTTGAAGCTAGCTTTGTATGGATTTAAAAGCCATCTTCTTCGATAGGTCGAATTGAGAATTTTTTAGTTTTTAGTTTTTTACGAGTTCAGTATTTGATTATTTTCTCTCTCAAAAATTATTCAATTAAATCAAGTAGTTATTAACACAAATTTGTTATTAACGGCTGAATGTCATGATCTTCTGCCCATTTCATCATCATATTCTGTTGATCTAAATCGTACGTGATATTGCATCTAATACATTGTTATCTTTTCTATCAACGTGCTTTTGTTTGAATTAAAGTTTTGAAAGAAAATTTCCTCCAAATAATATTCATACATCATGTCACGACCTTCCAGTTCAACCTACACTAAAAAGTCATCCTTCTAATCACTAAAAGCATTCATTTTAGTCAAGCTAGTACAAAGATCAAATCCAGCAGGAATATTCTGTTTTAAATGATACATGTTATTACCATTTTTTGCCATCATTTTTCATCTAACAAACTATATTCTGTGCGCTGAAAATCGTTCAAAAATTGTCAATATATATTGTGATTTATCAAAACGATAATAATCGATTAATCGCTGATTTTTCAATTATATCTTATTCAAATCTAATTATTTACTAGAACGTCTATTAGAGTCAAATTGATTTTGAAGAGGAAAAAGCGTATGAAAAAGATTGTAGTGCATATACAACAAAATTAGAACAAAATATACTTGATATAAAAATTTCAATTTATCATGATTAACACGTTGACTGTCTACATGCAAAGAAAGTATTACTTGTTCTACATCTACTTTTCTCGTTTTAATTCTAAAATACATGATGTTTAAATACGATGCGAACAAGTTTTTGAACATATCGTCAATATCAAGGTTCTCTTTGTGCAACACGTCTAATTCGATATCTCTATTAAGTCAAATGCTTTTTTTAGTTTTCTTTGTGCTCCTTCTCGCTAAAATGACCCATTATTAATGTCTATAATTATTGGATTTACTTAGTTTGTAAAGGACTAATTGGTATATTAGATGAATAATGAACTCACTTTATTGATAAAATAGGGATTAGGTTTATGTATAAAGGTGCTCGGAAGCATATCATAAGGTATTCTATAAATAAAATATAACAAAGAAGGATATATATTTGAATAATATAAAAAGAAGCAAAGTTTCCAGGTAAAGAAAAAGAAAATTTTGTATATACCACGGCATGTTTATTTTCATTTCGGCATCATAGTAGTAAAGAACATAGAAAAAAAAGATATATAAGAGATTATTATGTATAGGACACTATATACACGGCTGCCAAAAATGTTTTTCCAGGGGGGTACAGCCCTAGCGACTAGTGATAGAAAAAATAAATTTTATACCAAAAGAAAGCTCGTCAAACACGGGATCTAGGGGTATATTTCAATGTCCTATGAGAGATGGGCAAGCTATAGAACTGTGGAACTTCAGACAAGTTGAAGAATTTACTACTGACAAGATGTTGTTTTCGAAGATAAATTCCTGAGTAAAAATGATTAAAGAATGATGGATGTATCGAACCAATGTTTATTTTTTATGAACCTGGTACAATAACGAATAATTGTCTGGTAAATTCCCTATCAATTTTACGATCATATACATTTTCTTTACGGTTGTATTACTTTCTATTGCAGAGTCGGTACACTCGTAACTCTCAAAATTCTGTAACTGTCCTTAGTTCTGTAGTCAGCTCTCTCTTATAAAACATTAAAATATACCCCTAGATCCCGTTTTTGACGGGCTTTCTTTTGGTATAAAATTCATTGTTTCTATCACTAATCGTTAGGGTTGTACCCCCCTGGAAAAACATTTTTGGCAACCGTGTATAATTTAGTCTACAACTAGAATGTTTCTTTACGTCGTATCGACACCTGAAAATAGTTCAACTAGAACCAATTAGTTATATTCGACAAATTCTAGCTGCAAACATAATATGCTATGTGTGCATCATATTTGGTGCACCGGACAGTTAACGTGTTAAAATGAAACATTTACTTTCTTTACTATCAAATGTGAAATTCATCCTACGTAATCATGTCAAAAGGATTTTGAAAGTATTGCATCATATATGCATCGAAAGACGATAATAACTTCTATAATTATGTTGCTTTTCAGAAGATTATTACTAATTTGCTATGTCATTTTCTTCCATTATAACATTTTTTTTAAAGATTGCTTTGATTTTACTAATGCAACTAGCGAAATTGTTTATTGAAGAATAAACCACATATATAAAGAAACCAAATAAAGTTCATTTTACTATTTGTATTTGAATAATAAAAGAATAGTGCTGTTTCAATCAAATCCTTCGTAAACATTATCACAAACATAAGGTTAGAATTGGTTTATAATTTATTATAGTTTTGATTGTTTTTATACTTCATTACAATGTCAAATTCACTTGCTAATCTATTGAACACTTTAAATACAATTACTATATGGACAAGTCGTATCATTCCAATATTTCATCTAATTTTTGGAACGTTTGGAAATGTATTCAATATCATTATATTCACTCGTCCAGCATTGCGTACTAATCCGTGTTCAATGTATTTTTTAGCTGGTTCAATCAATAATATCATTTTTATTTACAGTGGAATATTTGTACGTTATATGATAGACGCTTGGAATTTAGATATAACTCTTACTAGTGTTGTCATCTGTAAATTTCGTCAATATATATCAGCTTGTTCTTTTGCACTTTATTCATGGTTTATCGTACTTGCCAGTATCGATCGATTTCTGTCGAGTTCAAAAAGTGCACAACTTCGTCAATTGAGCAGTTTGTCAATAGCTCGAAAAGTTATTTTATTGACTATTATAATCATGTTATTATTTTATTCATTAGTATTGTTTTTTTTCGCGATTGATCTAAATTATAGTAAAATAGCTTGTTATATACCATCAATCCAATATAATGCTATCTATTTTAGTATTGAACCATTGATTTCTGTTGTTATACCAGTTCTATTACAAACTATCTTTGGTATATTATTAATTGTCAATGTTCGTAGTATGCACAATCGTGTAGTTCCTATAGGAGACAATGCACGAAATGAACGGCAGCGTTCAAATGATCGTCAACTGATTAAAATGCATTTGTTGCAAGTATTAATGGCTAATCTTCTCTTAGCTCCTTATGTTGCGATCACTTCGTATAATTCAATTGCTATAACTATATTAAAACAGCCGCTTTCAATACATGATCAAACTATCGTTCTTTTTACATTGACTTTGGCGCGATATTTTGCCTCTACCAATCCTGTTATTAGTTTTTATCTTTATACTCTAAGTGGACCCAAATTTCGCAACGAATTCAAGCGTTGTAGTCGACATGGATTTCAAGTTATTCTTAGAAAAAGTGATTTTATGCGATGTTTGCCGATGAGAATTCAACAAGTAGTACGAAATGAAAACCAAACAAATACTAATACTCAATTCACAGAAAGAACCGAAAGAAGGAATAATGTTCATCCTGTTCAACGATATTAATTAGTAATGAGAATAACTGCTGTGCGTATATACAAAAAACCAAATTATTATTGTTGTCACATTTTCCTTTGCAAATTGAACTTTATATTTTCACTAATCATACCCTCAAGTCAATTCATTATATATTCTCTTTCTCGTAGAGAAGAGTCTTAGAAACATAAATTGCTTGCTTGCTTGTATGTCCGCAAGGTAAAAAAAAACATTGAAAATCGATTTTTCCGAAAAGACATTTCCAGATGTATTTCGATGCGGAGACTTCGAATCTGATGTTATTTTTTGGAAATTTTTCATAAAAAAATTTTTTTTGAGATAAAGATCCAATTAACTTTCAAACTGAATGATTGAACTTTCTTTTATTGTCGCTTCGACAGCCATGATCTTCTATTCATTCGACTACCAAAAGAAACCAGATGAGAAAGTCTTATTCTATGATTTACTATAATCCACACTAAAAATAAATTAATATACACAATAATAGGTTTAAAGTGTAATATCTGAAAGCGCGATTTCTATGAGAAAGAGATGAGCGAGTCGCTAGACGAGCGTTACTTGTCACAGTAATGGATATTTGATTTTCCTGAATAGATCAAGTATGATTTATTGAATAATTGGTGAGTACGCAAATTCAATCCAAAGAGTAGTAGAGTAAAACTTTGTAGGATACAATGTGAAATTTATGCAAGCTTATATCTTTATATGTATTTGTTTTTTTACTTAATATTTTTAAATATCAATAAAACAGTGATTCATAAAAATATTAAAAACGTCAACATGAAGTCACAAAACGATAGAAAAAATATAATTTTTTTTGTTGATTTCATTTATGAGTAAAATCTATAAAACAGATTTTGTTTAAACTGAATGTCAGTCAAATTCGTTACCTATACAAATAAAACGTCTTCAAATTGTGCACAAATTCAAGTAGATCAAAGTTCTATAATTGATCGGAGTGAAAATTATGGTGATCTAAATTGTGTTCGTACCTAGTTAATTCGATGATTGAAGCATCGATAGGCTTCAGGAAATTAGTAAAAACTGATTTTGTAATGTTCATCATCTCTGAATAGGAAATGTTCTTTAATATATCTTTCCTTTTTTTGCTTTTATACAAATAAATCTGTATATACACAATTTGACATCATAGACAAAATTTAATCGAGATCTTTTTTCAATGCAAATGTGCTGTAGATGACATTTGTATTATGTATAGGAGAGGATATTTTTTTCTATTTTTGTTTCTATTGAACTTACGATAAATGTCGTTGAAAACTTCTCTAATCAAAGAGAATAACATGTTTTTTTTGGTAAAAAAAAAGTTGAGATAATTATTCAAGCATCATTCTTTCTTTATAATAAACTTCTATTTTAAATCCATGATTGTCAAGATCCATTAGGTATAGAATGACATAAAAGTTCATTTTATTTATCAAACGAAGTGTGCAAAATCTTACAAAATATATTAGTCTTTTAACGAGTCATGGAACATATTAATGCAGAATTTTTGTTTAATAGATAAATCAATGAAATTTCTCTATATTATATATTTCTTTTCTAATATATTTATAAATCAAATTAATAAATTCATAGGATCGTTTAATTTTGTATCCTCGACTGAAGGATGACAGTGTGTTTCTAATTTTATTACATTATTTTCCATGCCTGTTTTGAAATTTTTGATTTTTGTTTGACAGAGAAATTTTCACCTTTACACAGTAGTCGTGCCTTAGCTGGTATTAGATTGTAGGATGATATATTATGGATAAGTTTATCTTTCATCGTTTCACAGTTTGGTCCTATTGAACCTTTGCAGAGCCGAGCACATGGCAAGATGAACTACCGCATCCTGCCGTGCGACATGGTGAATTTTTCCAAACTTTATTTTAAAGCTTGTACACGACTTATAGTAATTCAAAGCGATCAATATTCCCATTCCTACCATAGAAATCACTAACAGACAGCCAAATATTGCTTGACTACGGTTCGTGGAGATGCACACGAGTGTTGCATCATATACAAAAACAAACTAACTATGTATTAAATGTTAAGTATAGATAATGATTGTCTTATTTTTGTATATGAACTTTCACTATTCGTCTTTATATATTCTTAAAACGCATGTTCTTACATCTTTTCAATTTTATATTATTGATACTTATCGCAACTAGTTCTACGTAATGTCATGTCATTCTCACTTTGAATCTTCTATAAAATGTCATTTTGTTCATAATATATGTTTATTCAAATATTTATTTATTTAATTAATCATATAAAAAAATAGATGTGATATTTATGATACACGGATATAATTGTAAAAAGGATGGATGAAAAGTTCAATGTCTTTTTTAATAAAAAAAGCTTGTCAGCGCAGCCCCTTTGGGGCTAAAATATGGAACTCACGTACTTGTATTTGGAAAACGAGATTGTGGGTTACAATAAAATACTTAAGGAGTAAGCGCACTTTTAGATCATCACTCTCAGGATGGTAGCATTTCTAGTAGTCACAAACGGTATAAGCAGTTGGTTCAATTGAAGAATCAAATATACAATTGACTGTCCTTAGCTTAATATAGAAATATTCGGTCAGAATTATTTAGAATTCCAGACAATGCAAGATTTTTCTGAGTAAAGTGTACGTTGGGCCATTTTCGCGTAATTTAAATAATACCGAGTAAGGTCCAAACAGCACAACAAAAAATAACGAATCTGCATTTGAAATGCAACTATTTTTACTTGAACAGTAAATAATAGAAATTTGAATACGCTGATAACTTTTTTCTATGTTCCATAACTCTAATACTCTCTACATTTCTAATACTTCTATAGGTCATACGGCTACAGTAATCGTTGCAGTGCCTGCACCCTGTGGCCCCGTAGCGGCTTGTGGCCCATGGGTGGGGGCAAAGATCCTCGATACAGAACTCACACTCACTATTTTTCTTCGAAAAACAATGTGAGTTCCACAAAAAACTTTATATATGTCCTGTCCACACCATAGGACGGATGGTGGTGAAGCAACAAGTAGAACAGGATGAAAAATTTTGTGCTCTGCTCACCTTTGGTAGAAATATGCCAATACATCCAAGGGGGACAAGCGATACTCCACCTTACTCCCACAATACTCCATTTGTAGTCTAGTAATATTCCAATAAATACAATTATTTTCTGGTTAAAGTATCAGTGAAGTAGTGTTTGCAGTAGATTAGAGTAAAGTAGAATAGAATCGGACTATAACTGAAGTGGATTCGAGTAGGCTCCAACCCTGGTCCAGCCTACTCCAATGGTACTCCGAATCTACTCTCATCTATTTCAATCTTACTCCGATTGTATTCTACTCTACTCCAACACTACTCCACTCTACTTAAACCCTACTCTACTCTACTCCATTCGTACTTTGATCTACTTCACTCATACTCTAGAATCATTTTTGGAGTACTCTAGTAGCGATTTTACCCCCTTGAGTACATCACATTTAAGATTAGAATTTTGACGAGATTTTTTCATTATTAGAGTAATTGCTGAAATGAAATTAATGAGAAATGCAATAGAAAAACGCAAACGTATTCACAAATCGGATTTATGCTATATATACATATAAACAAGTTGGATGAATCCCATATAGATCCTATTGAAAATAGATTAAAGAATGAAGAGTTAAGTTATAAAACCTCCAACTTATAGAAAAGAAAAACACAGCAGTCGTGTTTCAGATATTTATCTTACGAGGGAAGCATCCCAGATGATACTCTTCGTTCGAGCTCATCTTTGATCCTTAGAGAGGGCTTCGACCATGGATAAAAAACCTA